ATATATTTCATATATTGAGACCCAAAAAATATTACCAAACCCGGATCCGAATAATATTTGGGTTCAAGATTTAAACCCAAGTCTGAATCATTGGATCTAATTTTTAAACTTATACCCAGACAAACTTATACCCAGACCTGCATCGAGTCCACCCCTCCAGTTTGGGTCGAGATCGGATCCATTGCCACCCCTACTTTTGGTCAGCTCCGTATCCTCAAAGTTTCAAACCCCCGCCCCCAGCCTCCCTCTCTCTCTCTGTCGACTTGGACCTTTCCACTTGTTATGCTAACCGAAATTAGGGAATTCCCTAAGGACCAGTAACATGCTCCAAGTTGAACTCAATTTTAAAAAGCATGTCGCCTTTTTTTTTTTTCTTTTTTCATTTTAATCATTTACAAGCTTAATTGAAAATGAATAATAGCATAACACATTGTTCACGCTATTAGGGTCACAATCAGAAATAAAGAAAAGAAACAGTCAAACCCTGAAATGGGGATTTAGCTTCTTACAAGGAAACAATTATAGGATGAATATAAGGAAAATGTAACTAAATTATTATAGCAAATTTAGTCATATTTAATCCCTATTTTCATAATATCAAAAAACCAAAAAACGAACAAAAATATATGTTTGGCACTCTAGCAAATTATTCAAGGAAAGGTTTTACATAAGTGTCAACCTCATACTATACAAGTAAGGTGCACCTAAAAAACCCACTAGAGAAGGTTCTTCCTATGCTGGAAAACCCACAAATCGATCATCTCTACCTCGAGATTCATAGAAAAAAAAAAAGAAGGGAATTTCCAGTCCCAAAAATAGTTCATTTTTTAACACATTTTCTAGACCGTCTGATTTTAAAATTTTCAAGTGTTTATAAATCTGCTTGATCGTCACCATTTCTGAAACTTTAAATTTCATAATTAGGGACAATAGATTTTCGTATCATAACAAGGCTTTGGGCATGAAACTGTATTTTCCACATAGTTTTGATGCGCAAGTTAGTTTAATAGTATAAAGTTGACCCATTATACAAACCTCAGCCTTTAGTCAAACTCAATCCCTATTTCAATATAATGTACGGTTCACATAAGGTGTAACCTTAAATCCAAAGTAAGATGCACCTCAAACCCTACACGAAGATGCATCGCTGGTGCCAGAAATTCCTAGTCTTAGGAAGGCCTTGATTGTGAAATTATAGCTTGAAAAATGTTGTAGATTGAGCAGTTCTATACTCACTTTAAATTTTTGAAATCAGATATGCATAAATGCACTACTTTTAAGATTTAAAGTCTTTTTTTTAAGGTACACCAAGGTCAAGATGATCAATTTGAATGTTTTCAAGCGGTTAACCTTTTTTGGATGGCTTTGAGGTCCACCTTACTTTTGCAAGATAAGGTTTACCCTTATATAAGCTTTTCACTTGAACAATATAGGTATAATTTTAAATAGTTCCTCATGTATTTTGATAATTTTCCCTAATTTTAATCATTTAGCAATGAGGGTTTCGGTGATTATAGTGTGTTGTTACTTCACACTAACCAACTAAGCCATCCATGCAAGTTAATAAGATATGGGATTGTATACAATGAGACCATTTACCTTTTATACAAGGTGGTCACAATTTCTTACAATCATTTGGTGTGAACTTTGATAGCTTGGATGTGTCACAAAGTTCGAGAAAATTTACTTTACAATTTGAGCTTGGTCAATATAATAATTACAGCCATTCAATTTCACATTCAATAGTCAAAATTAATGCGACCACCTTGTATCAAATATAAATGGTTTCATTCTGTACTTTCCCATAAGATATTGTTTAGTTATATACTTAAAAACCAGTCGATTCAAACAAGAAACTATTTAGGTGCTTGCCCCCAGGTTCTCAATGCAAATCAAGCAATTCTCGATCTAGATCATAATTTTTTAATACTAATTTATAATAAACAAAGTTCATTCTGTATTATCTATTATAATTTTGTGAAGGAGAATTATTTTTTATTTCTAAATAATATAAGTAAAATATGTTTTTATAAATTTTATTTGTTATCTTATACAAGTTCAAAATAGAGAAGTGGGTTTTCCGGTCCACCATGAATGAGAGTGACAATTATACATGGAGAAATGCCATCTACTTTTGTTTCATATACCAAAGGATAGAGAAAGTTCCACATGGAGCATGAGATACATGTGTGTGTGGACTGTGCAGTGGTTTTGGCGCAACAAAAGTCAAAATTGTTCAAATTGCTTGAGACTAAGTGAATTTTTATTTTTTGAATTTTTAAAGAGAAAATGAATAGCCATTAATATTTTATTTTGGCACCCATGGGGGGGACGGTGGGGGGGGGGAGGGGGGGGGGGGGGTTAAGTCTCCTACCCACGGTAGGAATGGAATTCAAGAGTGGTGTTGTGGTACTCCACCACCTGTACTACCTACCCTTGAGCTCATTAATACTATTTAATGATAAGTGAGGTTTGTATAAGGCGTCCTCCTTATACCATAGAAGTGAGGCGCACCGCTAAATTTTGTCTGGAGATGTGGTTTTAGTGTTGGAAACCCTATGTTGACTTAAACACATATTTTCATATGAAATTTAAAATTTTTAAAAATGATATAAATGAGTAGATAAATATTTGAAAATCATAAAAATAGATAATTTAGATAACTTGTCATTTTATACATTATTTTAATAATTGAAAGTCATTTTTTCTTCATATCTATATCTCAAAATTGAGATGATCAGTTGGAAGATTTTCCAAAATCGAAATGCTCTCTTCTAGAGGATTTTTATGGTGCGCATTACTTCAATAGTATAAAATCGACACCTTATATAAACTTTTTCTTTTACTAAAAATGCTCCCCTTAACTTGTTTTTCTTATAACTGGATAGATAATGTAAAAGAAAAGGCGCAAATTTGGGGCCTATAAATATCATCATTATTCTATTTAATAAAAAGCACATTCAAAGAGGCAAATATCCGTATAGCATTTAGTTAACCCATGCCTATGGCATGCATTATAAAGAACAAGGCATAATTTCTCCCAATATTGAATCGATATATTCCAAAGTATTTTATGGGGCAGAGTACTACTATGTCAAAAGAGATTGTCAAATTATTTATGTTTCGAAAAGTATTTGGCGTGCCTAGGGATTAATGCGCCCTTTCTGGTTTTCGCCTGACTTAGGACTTGGAAAGTTGAAACACACCCCAAATTTTTGGAAATCATTGTCAGCTTGAGATCTGCAAATTCAGAGCTCTAAAAAGTTGCTGATTTGATGATTTTTGAAGAATTGAAATGAACAGTTCCCAAAAAAAAAAAAAGGGCTCCAACATGGACAGATTTTACAGTTCAAGGTTCATTTTTCATCAAATTCATGAATGGAGAGTTCAAGATGGGAGGTCTATCGAGTTTTGGACTGCGAATCCATCTGCAAAATGAATTTGGAAGCGCTGACACACAAGAATAGATGTCTCCGCCGGTGCACCTAAACCATATCCTCTATGTTATCCCCCTAATGTGTGAAAGAACTTACCAAAACTTTTTCCTAGGCACAGTCAAGCACTTAGATGAAAATTCAAGAAAATATCGTAAATATTGAGTGAGCATGTAGACTACCAAACAATAGCAATACTGACACTAATGATGATAAGGACGACAATCAAAACAAATAACAAATCATAACTAACTAAGGATGATAATAACAACGATGCAGTTTTTATATAAGTTTAATGTAAACAAAATAAAGCCTCACCTCGAATCTCCAACCATAGAGCACCTTGGGTATTGAAAATCTTCGTGATGTCCCTAAATTGATTTCTAATACCAACTATGAATTTGATGTTTAAAAGATAGTTTAGATCTTGCCGATCCATGAACACTTATTTTTAAGGTCTGAAATCCTTTTTTTTAAAATAATTTCTTACAAATAAAAAATATAAAATAAAAAGAAAAGATGTGCTTATTATTTACCAGGTAGATCGAGGCTTGTGATGTTCAATAAAAAACCGCACCTCAAAACAACGTCAGAAAAGGCAGTTGTAGCATGCTAACGCTCTTATGATGGCCTAAATATTTATTTTCAACCCTGATTATAAAATGGGATGCTCAAAAAATTGATGCAGATCTGGGACATTTGTGAATACTTGAAATGGACGGTCTAAAAAATGTGTTATAAGGTTGACCATTCGTAGGGCTTGAAATCTATCTTTTTTCATATTTATATTTGTTAAGGTAAATATAATCATTTTGTCGATTTCCTAATGTCTAATCTAATGTTCACAACCTCAACCGGTTCAATTCAAAACCGGCTAGTCAAACTGGAACCAGGCACTGGCCGATCCGATTTTGGTGGTCCTGCAGGGTATTCTAAAAAAAAGTCAAATAAATATATAAAAATCTCAAAAAATAAGGGATTTTTTTATAATGTGTTTATTTATTTTATTTTTTTAATTTTGGCAAAGATTGGAAAATGTTTTACGCCTTAATACTTATTTTTACATTTTTTTTTTAAATTTCAAAAATAACTTTGGATACAAATCGATTTTTAAAATGTATTTTTTTTTTTTCAACTTCATTTTAATTATGCTTTAAATATACTTTTTGTATTTTTTTGGATTTGTTTTTGTATTTTTTATTTATTTTTTTCACTTTTTGGACTGGTCAAGACCTGCTCAGTTAGGCTGGTTGAACTAGCTGATTTACCGATTACTCAGACCTTTTTTTGTTTGGGTAAGTAGTTACTCGGACCTGGCCCTTGGCCGGTTCGATTTTTCGAACACTGGTCTAAAGTGCAATTTCCGATGAGATATGGGATGCAGCTTTATAAGGCCGCGGCACTACAAGATGCTGATGCTTTTCCTTTTCCTTAGGGTACGGAAATATTTAGTAGCATTAAGCAAGACATGGTAGTGGCATGAGTTAACTACCATGGATAAATAGAGTTAAGAATCATTAGGGGAATATATGTACAATTATTGGAGAAGAAATAGGGTTACGAGTCAATAGTTATGAAGTGGTAACCAAATTAGGCCTTTTCCATAGAGAGGAAAGGCCTCCCAACTTTCCTCCTTTACCATTTCTCTCTCTTCTCAAATCCCAAATCAAAAATGAAATTTCTAAGGATGGTATGATTTGGGATTTTTTTACCAAGATTTTCCATTTTTTTGTTTTTTTTTTTGTTCAAATATTTGATTTTCACAGGAATTTTGGCAGCTCCACATGGAAATGGCTTGTCATTTTAATCCGGCACTCAAAAGGTTTGTTTTACTTTCAGCTTTGTTTTTCTTTTCTAATTTTCTTGATTTTTTTTTTATCTATTTTCTAATGGGATATAAAGTAGTATGGGTGTGGTTTGTATAATAAGGTTGAGGCCCTAATCAATCAAAGTAAGGTGTACTTCTAACTAGTGTCGACAGATGATTTTCTAGTAGTGAAAACATTTGTGAAAGACTGAAAAATTGTTTCATGCCTATTTATACAATTTAAAGCTTCAAAAACAATGTAAATTGAGCAAATCTATAAAGACTTGAGAATATTGTAAATTGACAGCCTAGATAATGCATTTTAAGATGCACTATTTCCCAGACTTGAAATCATTTTCATTTTCTTGTCTGTATTTTTCGAGGTCAAGATGATCAATTTGAGGGTTCTTCGACATCGAACAACCGTTCTAGTGAATTTTTGAGGTGCACCTTAGTTTGATTGTTTAAAGCCTCAACTTTATATAAACATTTTTCATGTAAAGTAGGGAAAATGTATAATATGACCATTTACTTCTACCTTTTCGTATAAAAAGGTTACAATAGGTTTAGGGGTGAATCACTTAAAGTTCGAGAAAAAATTCATTGGGACTTGAGGACTATCGATGGCACATCCTCAATCCACCGACTTCGATTGGACATTGGGGTTGATTGTGACCTTCTTATATCAAAGATAAACAATATTATAGCAGATAAACCCTATAGAATATGTGTTTTACATATGCGTTTAGAAATTCTAAATGATTTTTTGTTAGAATATAATTAGTATTGGGACCATTTGATAATTTTAATGTAATTTAGTACTTAGTTTAGCCAAATTATGATTAATCAGGGAAGTGAAGACAATCATTGGAATAAGTATCATTTGTGTGAAAACTAGGTGCACAAGTATTAGGAGCCTAATTATCATTTTTGGAAAATTAGGCTTATTTACATAAAAAAAATTTATGTACTTTGTGTTGTTCTAGTGTGGTCTGAAATATTCTTCCGAATTCTATAAAAATGGCTCTTTTTGGGGAAAATAGCACATTTTTTTAACGATAAAGTTATTGGAGCCAGGCCTATGTGCAACAATGTGTTTCCAAAATCGCTCGTTCGGATCAGGACTCACCGAGTCAGACTAGACCAGAAGGCTAGGAATTATGGGCTGAAAAATTCTAAATTAGCTCGAGTCTTTGAGTCTTCCTGTATTGCTAGTTTTATTTTTATTAAATATACCCCAGTCCAACTCGAACTCATCCTGCGACCCCTACCGAGTCAGAGCCTGATCCGGATTTTGGAAATACAGGTGCACCATGTAAATTACACAAGTGGTGTATAATATATATTTTTTAAGTATAATTTAAACAAATTTCCTTAAGATTTTTGCATATCTTTTCTATGGGCTATCACATTTGAATATCATGTACCTTGCTTAGCTATTTACTGGTTCACATGTCTTGCATCTAAGTTCAAAGACCATGAAAGAATTGCACACCGTCCTACGCTCTTAAAGGACAAAATTCGGTTTCACCTCTTTAATCTAGACGAAATTTTAATCAATTTTGGATTTAAAACTAAACCTTTTCACTCAATTTGCAAAAACTAAATTCTCACCTTGACTAGTTTTCTGCTGATTTGGATTGATGTTTTAAAAAATGATGATTTGGATCAGAATGGCACAATCTTATACAGTTTTCATAAGGAGGGGTTCAGTTCCCTCAAAATTGATTTAGGATTGGACAATTATGATCTGGATCATCATTTTTTAGAACATTAGTTCAAATCAACAAAAAATTAGTCAAACTAGATTTAGGAAGTTATGGGTTTTCATAAAATGAGAACCTACCACCTCCAATTCCTTACGAAAGCTCAGCTATCCTGTTCTTTAGGAAGTTTTCTAATGACAACCTACAGTCTCAAATTCCCTAAAGAAGTTTAGTTATCCAGTTTTTTAGGAAGTTCTCCTCTCCGCTTTTTTTCTTTTATATGTCCTCTTTCTCTCAATGCCTCCATCTCTCTCTCTCACATCATAGTCGTTATATCTCAAAACTTCTAGAATAGTCATCAAACAAGTATTTCAAAACTTCTAGATACGGATAGTTGCATCTTCCAAAAAAAATAAAACTTCTAGTCTAAAGAATTACCGGCTTCCCATTACTTGGATTGGTTTTTGTAAAATTAGTTGGAAAGTTTACATGGACTAAATTTAGGAAAATTAGTTGGTGTAAGGCTCATAGAGAGAGAGAGAGAGAGAGAGCACTTCCACCTAAAGATTATTTTAGGCCATTTCAAAAATTCTGCCGGTCCAATTCGGAACCCCCAGTCAAATCAGAATTGGAATAAAAAGTAAAAAAGTTATATAAAATCTCAAAAAATAAAAGATTTATTTGTAATGTGTTTTTTTAATGTTTTTATCATTTTGACAAAGATTATAAAGCATTTTGGTTATGAATACTTATTTTTATAGCTTTCTCGTCTTTTTTTTAAACAAATTAAAAATATCCTTGGGCACAAATTGATCTTTTAACATTTATTTTTTCACTAATTTTTAACTTCATTTAGATGTACTTTGTTTAAGCATGCTTTAAATAATTTTTCATATTTTTTTAGATTTTTTGCATTTTTTGAATCGACCGGTTTACCAGTTACTCAAAACCAACCATTGGCCCGTTTCTGAAGCCGGTTAGATTTTTTAAACACTAGATAACACTTGAAACGAAAGATAACTAATGCCATTTTAGTTAGAGAAAGGAGTGACCAATTTGGTTTGAAGAAGGCATATGTGTGCATGAGTGTATGAGAGAGAGATGATGAGCAACTATAGTCCATTTTCATCCTAGTTAGCGGTCCTGAGAGACTGAAGCCACTCAAAAGGCAAGGAGGTCTTTTTAGTTTCATTGTGTGAGAGAGAGATACATCAAGCTTCTATATTTAAGTAGGTGGGGTTCTATATTTAAGTAGGTGGGGTGCGAGAGAGTGAGATAATTTATAGGGAAAATTTCATATAAAACTTTAATTTTTCATATTATTTTATGGTAGACGTTTTTTTTGTTTTTCTTTCAAGCATCATAAGAAAATCCTTAAAGATTTCACTGTCCCCCTCATCTCTTATCTCCATCTTTTATCGATTTTTTACTATAAAAAATAGTTCCAACAAATCTTTTTATACCATGTTATTTTAAAAACCTTTTTAACTTTTTTTTTCCCTTTCCACCAATTAAAAAAAACAATGATTGAAATAGTATAAAAAGATTTGTTAGAGCTAATTTTTATAATTAAAAGTCAATAAAAGATTGAGATAAAAGATGAAAAGTATAGTGAAATCTTTAAGGATTTTCGCGGCTTGAAAAAAAAACATAAAAAAAAGTCTACCACGAAATAATACAATAAATTAAGGTTCTATACGAAAATTTCATTAATTTATACTTCAAATTTTAAGAGAGAGAGATATATATATAGAGAGAGAACATCAAGTTTAAACAACTCATGAGAGAGAACGAGTTTGGTACGACATTTAAGTTGGTGAATCGGCGGTTATTTTGAGCAGAATATTGCGAAATCCCGGTGTATCTCCCCTCACTTTCACTCACTTTCACTCACATCAAAATGCTCCAAAAACCGCAAGACACCACTTAAATTCATCCCATCCCTTCTATACATACCCCTTACCCTTCACAAACATCTTCTCTGCCTCCTAATCTCTCTCTCTCCCATGCAGCTCATAAGTGAGAAGCCATCTCCCACTAACAAGAAGCCGGCAACCGGATTCCAGCCACTAATCTCAAGCATTCCTCTCTCATTCCCGGGATTCAACCGAAAAAAGATGAGAGGGAGAAATTTTCCGGCGAAAAGCGTTGTTGCCCTTTGTATGGCCAGCTTCCTTGTCGGAATCGTTTTGAGTGGCCGTATATGGAGATCGTCACAACCACAATCACAAGAACAAGGGCGTCCAAACGAGCTAAGAATTCCGATTCAAAGGGATTGCGAGCACAAAAGAGTAAATTTCCTCTTTTAGGGGTATTTTAGTCATTTTTATCATATACTTGAGGATATTTATATTATTTTTATGCATATTTATGGGCAGTTTAGTCATTTTTCATGTGTTAAGTATGGCCATTTTGGTCCTTTTCCATGGGATGGACCATGTGTTCCCCACGAAACTCATACCCAGCGGAAACATACAAGTCTCATGTCCTTTGGATGAGCATGATAAAAATTATTAAATTAATTACCAAAAAAAAACTATAAATAATTAAATTAAGTGTGTTTTAATACTAAGCAACAAAATTCAATTATACGCATGCAATTTTGTATTATACATTTTGTAAGATATACGTGTATAAATTAAAAGATTTTTATTTTATTTTTGTCTCTTTTTTCCGCTTCAACTTTGCATACACTCATAACTGATTGATTTTACATCTGATGGCCAAGTGTAATTGCAACCTTCTTGTACCAAAGGTAAATAGTTTCGTTATATATAATTGAGGCCCTAAACAATCAAAATAATGCACTTAAAAAATTCGCTAGAAGAGGTTGTTTCGATGTCGGAAAAACCTTAAATCGATCATCTTGACCTCAAGATGTGTAGATGTGAAAAATATAAGAATTTTAAGCCTAAGAAATAGTGCATCTTGTAATGCATTATCTGGGTTGTCAATTTTCAATATTATCAAGTGTTTATAGATCCCCTCGTTCTACACTATTTTTAAGTTTTAAAATTTTATAATTAGATATGAAAGTAAATTTTCAGGCCTTCACAAATATTTTTGTTAATGAAAAATCATCTTTCAACACTATTTAAAAACACACGTCTTATTTTGATTGTTTAGGGCTTCCATCTCATACAGAT